CATCTTGTTTCCTTCGCTTGTTCGTCACAGTCATTCTCACTTGAAACTTCTGAAACGATGAAACCATGTCAAGAATTAATGCAATGGTTTTCGACAAGGTTTCGACAAGTTAAAGGTCATTAGTATATACTAAAGCAGTGGACAGCGTTGAAGGTGTGCTCTGACTGGCTACTCAAACTCTGAATATCCTTTGCTATTTACCTCCGAGCAACTCGCGAGTTTCACGCTGCCGCACGTACAGGAATAAATTGATTATTAAAATCATCTTTTTGTGCCATATTATCTCACTGATTTAGTGTGTACTAAAAACAGCTATTCGCCTCAGTGTCGTGGCTATTAGTGAATATTTGCCAAGCTGCTTCGCGGCTCGTTAAATGTCTACTATTAGCCACCTACACGTCGGTAAATAGTTATTGCTTATATCTGAAATAACCTCGATTTACAGAATTCGTTTCAGCACAAATGAAGAAAACATCATTTTCTCCATTAAATGATTTCCGGCTCAGTTTTATTAACGTAAGCATTTACAACTTAGTACTAGTACAAGACTTCAACCTTATAAGGGTGCCAAGACATCGGGAGGATCTCGAAAAATTCTCAGTTCAAACCTCGATATATGAGGAGGTATGTAGCATTATCAGAATTTATAACTGCTAATTTAACCTAAGGTTATTGAACAATTATCGAGTACCTTTTGTGGCATTTTTGTTTAAATTGTCGACAAGAGCAAGAGCAATTGCAGGCAAGAGAATTCAGTCGATGGCTAATCATCAACCTATGTGCATATCGGCAAAAGATTCCGAAGAAGGCTACTAAATATTTAACATACAAAATGTCACATGGATAATTTATTTGAGCTATGTAAGACCTATCACAATGTTTAAGGCCTTTCAATTAATTTGGTGACTTCAATAATTCTTCACGTATTTCTTTTTTTGTGTCACTCAGGGGCCGATGATGAAACTCTTCTGTATCAAAATGAAGCAATACAGGAAACGGTAGAAATTTATGTAAGTAACACAGCGGGTCTCTACATATATTCCTTCATATAATGCAACATGCTTAATCAAGGTAAAAAATTATGTTAATGTGAAATCAAGTCCCAAAAAGAATCCAAAGACTTATATGCTTTATAATTCCCTATGAGGAATCACAGTTCCCATATACGAATTGAGAAACAATGCAATTGTAGATGCTTCTTGCGCATTTCGTGCAGAAAGAGGGCAACTAAAGACGATGACCATTATGTTCTTTGCAGGATTCTGAAGTTAAAATTTTAGAAGCGGCATCTTCATCTGCGGCATCGTCATCTGCAGGTAATAATTATTTTAAAATGATTTTAAAATGATTTGCTTGAATGTGCAGTACGTTCATTAAATTACAATAATAACTGCCTATTTGAAATGCGCAATATTAGTGTTTTCATTTTTATCCACTGTACTGTTATGAGCCAAAAAAGTGACGCCGTATTGATCAATAATTATTTTTGTTTCAAATTCTCTTTTGGAAGGGTACGTTACCTTATTTATATCTTAAACTTTGGGAAAAGAGAGCAGTAGCTTTCTTTGCGGTTTGAGGATATGAGAAAATTTTTTTCTAAAAATAATATAATGTAAAAATAATAATAATAAATAAAGGTAGAGGGTATGAGCAGCAAAATTAAAAACTGATTTTTTTTCTTATGTGTCTTTCAGCAGAAGCTGAATATATGAGGCCTAAAGGAAAACGTCGAAAAAGTAAGGCTCTTTTATCTTTCCCGTCGGTTGTGTAAGCTAAGCCTACACCATGATTTGAGGTGATGTGGAAGTATTTTTTCCTCAGCTCCAATGAGCTGTCTTTTGATACATCCGAGAAAGCTAAATAATGAGATACAAGATCTTTATCATGAGTGTGATCTTACCCTTTTCCTCGACCTCCGCATTACTAATCTCTTGAAGTATCACTGAAGTGTCCCTTAATCTGCTATCAAATATAAACAGTTGAGAAACCTAAATAGACCTTTAGCAGTTAAAACATTCATGTAAATATGGGAATGGTAGTTAATCATGGCTAAAAGGGTGCTGGTGTTTATAAAAAAAAAAAAGGTACAGAGAAAACTTTGCACGTTTATGAAAACTTACCCTAATTCCCGATTTATGTGCTGTACACCCCAGTTTTATCTGAAGATTGCTCAGTCTTGGTTCACTCGTGGGTGGTGCGTAACGCTTGGAAGTTCTTTTTTTTGTTATGGTATATGGTGTTAAGATAAATAGCGTAACTATAAACCGATTGGAAAACCTTAAATGTGTTTCTGGTAACATAACTTGGGATGAAATATGATTTAAAATCAGAGAAGTATCAAAGGAAATCCCTGACATCCTACTCAAATTTGAATGCCGGCCCCCTCCTAGCCATGATTAACGAATAGTGACAACCCAAATGATGTGTGGAAGTGTGAGTTCTTTAACTGACATGAAACCCTTTCCAATCGGGGATCTTACTATTAATAAGTCCTTTCAGA